CTGAGGACTGGTTTTATGTCTCTCACAACCCCGTGGGATACTTACCTGGGTAGAGAAGCCAGGATATGAGTCCCACGAGGAAGTGGTGAATCTGAGCCACGCACTCACCGCCCACAGCTGCTTGTACTACCAAGGGCTGTGAAAATACACGGGGGACGGCAAGCCCCTTAGTGCCGGAGGGAGTCCAGGAAGACTCCTCAGCGACGTTGAAGTCTTAAAGGGTGAGTACAAGGCAGCATAGACACCGAGCGACCGGCTAACGTGGGAATACACCCGTGCATCTAGGTGGGGTTGGAGGGACTGGAAGAGCGGGACCGGGCTGTGACAGAGCTCTCCAGCCATGCTGAGGAGCTGGGCTCTTGTTCTGTGGTCGATAGTCCAGAAATGGGTTAGAAAGCACTTTGCCAGAATCACTTGGGCTACAGCGTGGAGTTTGGAGGAGAGGAAGTTAACTGGGTGGTGGCTGTACAGATGCAAGAAGATGGTGAGGGTGGGCATGATGAGAAGGGGATAGAAACGTTCCCTGCCTCCCCTTTCCATAGAGGCCTGCGGCCTACGTAGGATTTGCAAACTCTGGTAATTCATCTAATTGGCTAACCTTAACTTTAAGCCTTACCACTTGATTTACCAGATGAGTTGATCCTGTGCATTTATAAAATATACTTAATGTCACAGAATTTTAGAAAAGAGTATTCCGGATCTAACCTAATGGGGTTTTGTTGTTCTAAAGGTGCTACAACATGAGTAAACCATATCCACTTCGGGGCAGTGGAGAGGTTAAACATTGGACAACCCTGGCGTAAGTTGGGAAGAACAATCAAAATTAACATGTCCCCCAGGCCCTTGTACTCAGGAGGGACATAATGACACTTTTTCAATTTAATACTTATATATGTCTGGTATAGTTTCATAGTAGGAGTAAAAGTTATTGGTGTTCATAACTCCTTTTTGGTGGAGAAGGAAGATGAAATGAGGAACAGTAGCCAGAAGAAGGCGCAGAGTTGTGAAGGGAAAGCCCGTGGCGGGATGTTAGCCTCACGTGCCGTACGGGTGTCACTCAGCACCAAGGCACTTGGACCCGGAAAGAAAGCAGCAGGCTTGGAAGGATTTTCAGACTGGTTCTACTGAACAAACAAACTCTTCCAAGAGGCAGGAAGAGAAAACACTCCTCCACTCCTTACAGGCCAGTGTAACCTTGACACCAGCACTCAGGCACCAAGAGTATGAGAAAGGAAGAAATGCAAGCCAGCCTCACCGAAGGAAACACGTAAAACACTCAATAACACAACTAGAGTATGTATTCTTGAAGAAAAAGGTTTGTATCAGGGGTGCAAGGATAAAATAACAAATTTAAAAGTGCAATTTTTCACATTAACAAAGGGAGAAAAACTATTTTATTAGTGTATAAAATAAAACATTCGATAGAATTCAGTCATAATGGTTAAAACACACTAGCAAACTCAAGAGAGGGAAACTATCAGGTAGGGGAAATCTACAACAGTATAGCACACATTCTTAATTATGAAATTTTAGAAATAACCCCTTTAAAACCAGAGACTGGCAAAATGTAATTCAGCTGGTGTACAGAACAAGAAAGGAAAAGGTCTGATGTGGGAAAGGAGAGGGAAAGCTTAGCGCAGTGTGCAGATGGGTTATGTTCAAAAGCCTGTTGCATTTTCACATATGAACAGCCGCAGAAAATGACTCACAAAAGGAAAACACCAGACAATGGAAAACTATTCAGTGCTAAAGAGAAATGAGCTATCAAGCCATGAAAAGATGGGTGTTAAATGCATTTACTAGTGAAATTTACTAAGCAGAAGTCAATCTGAAACGGCCTCTGTATGATTCCAACCCCATGAAAGGGAAAAACTGGACACAGCTATGAAAATATCAGGTTAGAAGCACAGGTTTTTAGGGCAGTGAAAATACTCTGTGTGATACTACGAATGATGGATATAAGGCATTAATCATTTTTCCAAGCACAGAACATACAGGACTGCAGGTGAGCCCTAATGTAAACTATGGACTTTGAATGATAACGGTGTGTCCTCGTGTGCCCCTCAACTGCGGCAGACGGACCACTCTGCTTGGGGAGGGTGGTAACGGGGGGGCCAATGCATGGAGTGGGGGCAGGGGGGTAGGGGAATTCTCGGTTCCTTTCAATTTTGCGAACTTAAAACAGCTCTAAAAAAAATACTCTTAAGAAGAAAACAGTGACATAGGAATAAATCCAACAAAGGATGAGTAACAACTTGATGGAGAATTTTTTTTCTAAGTTTATATGAATCATTAGAGCAAATCTATTTGAATGGAGGGCACACAATGGTCATGTTTACAAATACAGATACTTTAGGATGTCACGTCTCTCTGTCTCCAAGTTCACTGCAATTGCAATCAAATCCTAGGAGCGTTTTCATTAAGTTTTATAAGCTTATTCTAAAATGTATGTGGAAGAGCAAAGGATGAAGAATGGCAACATTTCTGAAGACAATGAATAGCCTGCTCTCCCAAATACCGAGACTTATCATAAAGCCACAGAAGCCAAGACAGCACACTGTTAATTGGGGAAAGCACATGGAGGGGGGGCGGAAGGCAGGGCCCGTGAACACCCACTCTTCCGGAACCCATTTGTAATAGGGCTGCAGGGCAGATTGGTTACGATACTGGACAATTTGTTTGAGGTGCTGTGATAACTGGTTATTTATATGCAAGAAAATCAAAATGGATCCCTACACTACACCACGTACAAAAGGCAACTCTGGGTGTATTAAAGACTTAAATTCAAAAGAATGAATAACTAAAAGCTTTCAAGGAAAACATCAGAGATTTTCTTTAAGATCTTAGAAATGGAAGGATTTTCAAACAAGTCACATCAAGCGATAACTATGTTGAAGCTTCAAATATTTGATATCAAAAGCATGAAAAAGGAGAAAAGATAAGTCACAACTGAGAGAATATATTTGCCACGTGTGTAATTGTCAAATATCAGTGTAGATACTGATCAACTATATATAAATATATATGAAGACTACCGGTAAATCCATTTAAAAAATGAAAGAAACCTTTAAAAATAACAAAAGACATATATATGTAATTTCTAGAGAAGGAAACATGAATTGTAAATAACCATGTACAAATGGCTCAGTCTTGTTGAAATTCGGGGAAATCAAAGTCAGATTATAATGAAATACTGTTTTATACCCACTAAATTGTCAAGTATTAAACGCTCTGACAATATCAAGTGGCATCAATGAGGTGGAACAGGAGAATACCTGTAAACTGCTAGTAGAAGATCAAATAGATGCAGGGCACTCTGGGAGAAGCAGTTTTGCAAAACTGTTTGCATCAGTCTTGTAAAGTTAAGCATAGAATCCAGCACTTCCATTTCGGCGTGTGCATTCCCTGATGTGAAGACCTAGAGACACTCTGGTATCTTTATGCACCAGGGGACATGTGCCGAAGTATTCATGGCAGCCTTACTTGTAATAAAAACGTTAAAAAATTGCCAAATACGGAAGCGGATTGTGGCCTATTTGTGCTCTCATGTGTTGAGGACCACCCAAAGAACATGTAATAGCTTCACGCAACACCACGGATGAACCTTAAAACCATAATATGGAGCCTTAAAGGCAACTACAGGAGGCTGCATAAGTATTTTTGCACAGGTCAGTAGCCGGTAACGCTAAAGGACATATTGCTCAGAGATGTGCATGTATGATAAACTGCATTAGAAACAATATGACACATCATCGTGGATCGTGCTTATGGAGAGATGGGGAGGAGACAGAAAGGACCCTCAAACAGCTTTACTGGTCTTTGCAATGTTGTAGTTCTGAGGTCAGGTGGTATTTTCATTGTTGTTCATTTTATTCAATAAATGCACTCAGTATATATACACATATGTATGTTGCATGTATTCTTTCATATGTACCATCAAGATTTCCATACTAAAAATGTCTATTCAGTAGAATGCTTCCTAATGGATAAACTGTTTCATGGAGTGGGGGGTGGGGGCGCTCTCAGAGATGTTCAGTCAGCTGATAGTTGAAAATATTAATCTGCAGAGAAGTCTAGGCCAGATTTGCAGTTTGGGGAATTATCACTATAAATATCCGTACAGATCTGTGGACTGATTTGTTATTTAAAGATGTGGAAATTCAAGAACTGAGTATGTAAAAATGAGTAAGACAGAATGGATGGTGCATCATGGTAAAAAGTTGATGAAATCAGAGAACTTCATCGTTCAAAGAAAAGGGAATGTTTCCTTAGGGAGTAGCATGTCCTGGAACCTCAGTGTGCATTTTAGCAGGAAGCCGCGGTGGCTGGTGACTGGCAGGAGCGTGTTCCTGAAACCATAAGCTTAGCAAAGGAGAAAGCTCGAAGGCTAGAATGGATTTCCAGGATAGCGTTTATACTCTGAGATGAGCATTCAGGAAAAATCAAATACATACACTGAGGAATGACATCCTGTATGTCAGGAGAGGGTGTAGCATTAGGGCTTTTAAAAACATAGCTGCCATTGATAGTGACTGCTCGAGTGGAGGGTGAGGATTGAATCACGTGGGTGACCGCTGAATCACTGTGTTGTAGCCTTGAAACCATGATAAGATTTGTATATCAACTATACTTCAATTTCTTTTAAAAAAGCTGTTGTCAGTTCAGGACTTTGCTAGTTCAGAATTGATAGAACGGAAGTGTAGAAATGCACAGAAAAACTTCTCCTTCCAGCAATTCTCAGTCTGCTTTTATGCCCCCACCCATCCTCACACCCCCATAATGTGGCCCACCATGGTTTCTATTTCAGACCAAGGAGGAGGAACCCTTGCAAATGGGCTTGTGTCTTTGGTTTCTTGAGGCGCCCCTGGTGAGGGACCCCACTTGTCCTAGGGGTTTCTTAGTTGCAATCATTCTTGCTTTCTAGGCTGAGATATCCGGACCAGTTTGCAAGAAGAAAAACAGTTGCTTAGTCATCTTCCAAGGGGATGTATTTGTTGCAAGTGCCCTGGGGCCTCCTTCCGTCTGTCCCCAGGGAACAATTACTGCTACTGTTGTTTTGAACCTCGCACCTCAGTGACTGGCGATATGTAAGTGGCATGTAAGTGGCGTTTGACCAGGGTTAAGGGGAAATGCATTTAGAAATTAGCTAAACTAGCACTTCCCAAACACTTTGCGGCATAACTGTGGAGGGTCATGTGACTTGGAGGAAAGGGGCTTCCTAGGCCAGGCCAAGATTGTGTATGGCCTAGTTGCAAGAGGTGATGGAACCAGGACATTTTCCTATGGGCCCTTCCATGCAGGGTGAGTCCCGAAGCAGTGATGACATGGGGCTCAGGCAGAGGTCAGGAAGAAACAGTGGAGTCAGTGGATGGACAGGCCAGAATCGTGAACGGGCCTCAAGTGTCCCAATGTGCAGACACTGGGGCAGCATCAGACCAGGGGGGTGAGACGATGGATGTTCTGACACACCTCATCAATCACTAATCAATCTTCCATCCACTTAGAACAAAGGGAAAAGGGCGGGCGGTAGGTTGAAAATTAGCCCGATGTTTCTATTTTAGAAGGAAGACAGCCAAGTCCTGAGAAATGCAGCTCACCTCCATTTATGATAACATTTATTAATGCCAACCATTATTCGGAGCATTTTACATGTAGTATTTTATCACCTCCATTTATGATAACATTTATTAATGCCAACCATTATTCGGAGCATTTTACATGTAGTATTTTATATGGTTCTCACACAGAGAACTCCTGCAGAGACCATTATCAGGCCCATAGAACAGATGAAGAAAATGAGACGTGAAGTGGTTAGGTAAGCTGCGCCATGTCACACAGCGAGTTCAGACAGGGTGTCCTCTGTGTCCACACAGCAAGAGCCCTGGGCTTCCCCCCGGGCCTCTGGCAGCTCCACATCAAGCCATAACCGGTGTTGCCTGAGAACAACAGAGGGGAACGCACCCTAGGGAGGTCAGGCGCTGACCCCGTGCGAGCACGCACATCTGTCCGCATCTGGGTTTCTGGTCCCTAAGCCTCCTTTCCCCAAATTCCAATATTCCATATCAACTCTCACAGTGGCGAACACGGTTGACAGCCCTGGTTCATTTAGTTTGCAGAGAAGGCAAGTGAGATTATCAAGTAGTCGGCAAAAGGAACTCACAATCTGGGCAGTTTTTAAGCTGAAGTTCCTAGGAAGGAAATAACTATGTGGTTGATAGAATAAAGACTCAAAAGACAAGATGACGTGGGAGAGACGGTTTGGAATATCGATATGAGAAGACGGACCTCAGACAGTGAGAACAGTGGCGCTCTCGGTGTTGGAATGAGTGTAAAATTGTCGATGCCACGTGGCGTGGCGAGCAGCCCAGGGGGGTCTGGATCCCAGAAAGAGCTTTGCCCCCTGTGAGCTGTTAGCTTTGACAAATGACGTGGTCACTCCTTCAGCAAGGATCTGCCGGGCATCAGCTATGTGCCTGTGCTGTTTTACCTGGTGCAGATGTCAGGGTAAAAAATAGCAGACCTGATTGCTCCCCTCCTGGAAGTTATAGTAATGCAGGGCCGCTGGGGTCAGCAGACATTTTCTGTACAAGGAAAGAGAGTAAATATTTTAGGCTTTGCAAGCTATCCAGTCTCTATGGAAGCTGCTCATCTCGGCAAGTCCAGTGCAGAATGGCCATAGAGAACACAAGTGGGCATGTAACACTTTATTTACAAAAATAGGTGGTGGACCTCATTTGGTGAGCGGGCTGTTTGTCAGCCAAGCCCTTGTCTAGAGGAAGAAATAAACGTTCACCAAATAAGTATGCCTATGGTAACATGTGTAAAGGGCCTGTGGCACCGAGGACATGTATAGCTTTAGCAGGACTGACAGAAGCCAGTAGGGCTGTAGCTCAGTGAGTGAGGGGACTTCATGTGAATAAGGCTGGAAAGGGTGGGAGTAGCTCCCAGCAGGGCCCTTTAGGACACGTAGGACCTCAGTCTTTGCCATACTAACAACAGGCAGTCACTGGATTCTTTTAAGCAGGTGGCCTGATCAGAGTGGACTTTCAAAAGACCACTCCCTGCACCGAGGACAGCACGACTGGATGAGCCCCCCTAATCTGAAGCATCAGAGTGGGCGTGCCTTCCCTGGTACTGGGTTGAACAACCACACAAGGTGCCTAGACATGTGTCATAAGATACAAATAAGGTAGAAAATCACCTAGTGACGTTTCATAGCAAATAACACCATCAGGTCATATTCTTTTGAATTTTCTCCCTGAACAAAGGCAGTCCAAACTCAAGGAGTTACTTTGTTTGTGTTGGCAGGCTTCCTTTGCCCAGGGCAACGGCTCCTTAGGGTGCTGGCAGAAGAAGAGCGGCTTCCCTCACGCTCGCCTCCTTTCTCCACCTCCCGTCTCCCAAGCACGTCGGGCGCTGCCCGGAGCGCCTGGCTCCAGACCAGTGAAAACCGGCCAAGTATAAAGGCTTCTCAAGAATGAGATGGATCCCGGGGTGTCCTCCCCTGAGAAGCAGGAGAAAGGGAATTTAGTGGGTAAGTTCCTTGTCCGCGCCCCGCACAAAGCCCTAAGTGTGTTCTGTGGGTGGGAAGCAAAGGGGGAGCTGTGGTGTCCCAGGGAGGAAGAGGGTCCCTGGACATCAACGGACACGTGAGAGAATTGGCTACGATTTCTCTTAGTGCCCAGGATTTGGGATTCACTGTTTATTGTGGTTTCATTTGCTTCTTGAACAACATCTATAACTTGTTCCTTTACTTTAGTTTTAGGTAGATTTTGTGTTTATCTTTGCATTCTTTTTTTTTTTTTTGGCATTAAATAGTAAAGACTTGCACAGGTTGAAATGTACCCATTTGCAAGTATTATCTGATGATGCTATGATTAAAGAGAAAAGTTGGTTTGAGCTGCACCATGTTTGATACATGGAGAGAAGCTGAGGAAAATAAAGCTTAGCCCGTGAGTGCTAGTTACAACCTGGAACACTGATGGCTATTCTGTAGTATAGAACATTCTGCTTGCGTTATATTTTCAAATCCTACAATAATTTTGAGGATTCTCTTATCATCTCATTTTTTGAGCGAGAGAAGCAAGCCTTGAAGAGTTTAAGAACTTGCTGACAGTGCAGAAAGTGATGCTGGTGTGTGCAACAGTGTGTGTGTGTGTGTGTGTGTATGAGTGTGTGCACACACACGTGTGTGTCCTAACCCAAACTCTATACCTTATATTGCCACAGAAGTCCTAGTACAAGCTTTGACATTATTAGTTTGTAAAGGAAAATTACACGTTTAGAGACAGTTCGCTAAATTGGGAAAGAAACTTTGCTCTGAAGCAGGCTTAGCAATGCTGACATGTCGGGGGCAGTAATGCCATTTGGAAGTGCAGGGAAGGTCTCCTTGGGAGTACGCATCACTATCTTTTTAAATGAGAAGCTTCGTGGGACATCTTAGTTTCCATGAAATAGGCTGAGACATCAACTGGGGAATGGCATGATTAGAGCAGAATCACCATTTTGATTGTGTAAAAGCAGTTCTCCGGGCTGCGTGGGGAGGAATTTTCCCTTGCTCGCCTCCATCTCGGATGCGTTAACAAGACAACAAATTCCGTCGTGCAAGCTGTACAGAAACTTCCACTGACAAGTGCTGAGAGAATGAAATGAATCCCTGCGACCCCGTCCTCAGCCACTGGTGTGCATCGCTTCCAGGTCCAACAGGGTCCAGGAGTAAATGAGAACCCATAGAATGCCACAAAGCAGGGTGCCCGGCCAGAGTCCGAGGCGCTCAGCATTCGCTAGCACCCCACCGCTCATCAGCCCCCGACATCTCTCCCATCCCTTCCTTTGTCCTTTCCTTCCCCTTGAAGAGTTCAAGCAAAGTTCACTGGGATCTCGTCATCTAAATCTTAGAAGTTTTCTTTGGACATTATACCACAGTAATTTTCTCATGTTTTTGTGAATTAAAAATACAGTCATCATATGATATTGGGTAGATATATCTTGTTTTGCTTAATTATCCCTCCATTGTACTTTCAGGCTGCTTTTGATTGACTGCTGTTATAAATAACACATATCATGAGACTCTTGGGCAAAAAATCTTAGGGATAAAGTATCTGCTCTTTACTGGTTATTTTGGTGTTAGTTCAGACACCAAAAGGGCAGGTAGCGGGCGAGGGGGATGATATAAGTGCAGGGAGGAAAACAGGTTTTTTTGTCTGGTCTGTTACTTAAATTGACATTGGACAAACTAACAAGAGAAAAACACATTGAATTTTGTACACATGAGAACCCCAAATACGCGGGGCTCCGAGGTGGTCAGGAATTGACCACCTCTGCCATCTTCTGTGCCATTCTGGGCTAAGGAGAAAGGGGTAGGGGTCCGGGGCTTCGACACAGGGGAAGACGATTCACAGGAAGACGGGAAGGGCAAATGTTCGGCAAACACATGTCTGTCGTGCCAGGCAGAGGCCACGGGGCACAGAGAGGACCCGGACACCCAGGCCAGCTTGCCGCGGCAGCCCACGCTCTTTGTGGTTGTCCCTGGTGAGGCGCTGTCCTGGGCCAGCCCTCCATCTAAGCTCAGAGGCAGTTCAGCGGGAGGTTAAAGCCCCTTCTGAGTCTGTTGGGCCCTGATGACTGTCTTCAGCTCAAAATAATCCACATGCCCAAGTGGCCTGTTTGGGGAGGCTCATTCTGAGCTCCTGCACAAGGAAAACATGTTCTATTTTCCGGTCCTACAGGTGTGGGGGTGTGGGTGCAGCAAGGCGGTACGTATGAAGGAGAAAGTCCGAGGACACACGTTCTCAGGTTAACTGGCCCTCTTGAGACCAAGCAGGCCTCCTCTGAGGGATTATTATTTCCTGACAAGAAGCTCCAGACAGATCAGTCAGTCTATCACGTTGCTGAGCACCATTCTTGATAGTGGGCCCTTCATTCATTCATGCAGTGAATGGATTCAGAATCTACTGTGAGGCAGGAGACAGAGACAGGAAAATGAAATGTCTGCTCTGAATGCACCAACTTCACAGGAAAAGCCCTCAAGTGAACAAAAACGACACTGCGCTTTGCAAAGGGATGACAGAGGGTGGGCTAGAAGCTCAGAAGGGGGCTCCCAGAGGTGGCAGGGAGAGAGGACAATCTTCCTAATAAAGAGGAGGTGTCTGAGCTGAGCCTCAGGCTAGGCGACAGATAGGAGAAAATGGGGTGTGATGGGCGGCTTGCGGACACAAAGGCCATGCAAAGGCACAAAGATGGGCAAGGATGCTGGCGTTTCTGTACTGCAGGAGCTCCTATGTGCTGTTAGCACGTGGCTTTTCTCATTCCACTGGACTTTATTTCCACAGGCTCAGCATGGGCATGACTGTGCTTTCAGCCCCCAGATCATAATATGGGCCATTCCCAGCACCCCGAAATCTCCCTCATCCCTTCCCATACAGCAGCCAACCACCCACAGACCCACTACCTAGAAAAGCTACTTCTCTGACTTCCAACAAAATACATGAGTTTAGCTTGTTCTGGGATGAAATGGGTCAGTGTGAGGGAGTCCACAGACTACGTCCTCTTCCCCAGAGAATCAGAAAGTGTGTACTCTGTGTTTGGCTTATGTCACCCCGTATCTGTCTGTGACATTCACCCACAGTTTGCATGTGGCGGTGGCCTGACCTCTTCTCTTTCTGAGGGATCCTCCTATGGATGACTTCGCCACCACTGCATCCATTCATTCTACTGTTGCTAGATTTGGGTGGCTCTTGATTTCTTGGATTTTCTGAATAAAATCGCAGTGAATGTGCTTGAATACAAATGTTTTCCTCTGCAATCAGCACTCTTTTCTCTCAGGTTTTCCTTAGAAGGTGAAGGCTGCATCATAAAGTGAGTGTGCATTAGTCTACCAGGTGCTGTCAGGTGGGGTCTCAGGGTGACCCCAGCCCTCTGCAGACCCGGCAACTCGGGGGCTACTCACGCTGCCGAACCAGCAGCAGCATCTGTGTCTGCTCTTGGCCATTCTGGAGGCTTTTTCTATTATTATCTTACTGTGGGTTTGATTTTCATCCCCCTGTGTATAATGCTCATCATTCTTTTGTGGTGTTTTTAAACAATGGCATAGTACCTGAAAGGCTATTCTGGCTTAGAGAGGACATGACTATAGAACAGATCTGTGGGGAAGGAGTGCGTAGAGTGTTGGGCTAATATTTAAACACTGTTAACGGAGCCAAAGTTGGGAATTAACGACCCAGTCCCCTAGTTTATTTACTAAAATTTGGGTCTGCTTCTAGCGCCGCCTAAGTGGGGTGAGCGGTTGGCGGGCTCTCCCCCACCTCCGGCCTCACGCAAGTTCCCAAATTGCCTTGAGTGCTTGCCCCTGGTTCTGGGGTGGTCCTCTGGTGCTGGGCGGCATGTAGGTGCCAGGAGCAGAGCCCAGGGGGGTGGGCCTCACTGCCCAGGTCAGTAACCGTGACACGGATCATTGTCCGTGGAACGTGCGGGCGCCACCTCACTAAGGAGGGATTAAGGTGATGACGTCAGGGCTGACCAGGCAGGCTCTGGCTGCTAAGTGCAGGGCTGGCCCTGGGCTTCTCTAAAGTCCCTCCCAAGGATGTCAGGCCCAAGCCTCAGGGCCTTGTCCCCGAACCGCCAGCCCTGGGCCTCAGGTCCTGTGAGGCCAGGTGCTTCCTCTATGCACCTTGAAGTTAAGAGGTCAACTACATGTGCTGTTCTGCGTCACAGCCCCACGCAGGAGGGAATCTTATTTCACCAGCTGCACGCTTCCTAGAAGGAAGTTGCAGCTCTGCTGCCAGACATGAGCTCGTGCTGAGAAGTTGCGCTTGTATCCCTCTGTCTCCCCTGTTCTAGCACAGGGCCTGGCATATAACTGGCAGAACATTTGTTAAGTGGATGAGTGAGAAATCAGGACAATTTGTTGAGGGTGGCTGGCAAAATCCAGTTCTCTACCAGGAGGTGGGTTTATGGCCTTGTGATGGTCACCCACAGGAAACGCACCTCCACAGACTTCCTTTCCTTCCCCTTGAAGAGTTCAAGCAAAGTTCACTGGGATCTCGTCATCTAAATCTTAGAAGTTTTCTTTGGACATTATACCACAGTAATTTTCTCATGTTTTTGTGAATTAAAAATACAGTCATCATATGATATTGGGTAGATATATCTTGTTTTGCTTAATTATCCCTCCATTGTACTTTCAGGCTGCTTTTGATTGACTGCTGTTATAAATAACACATATCATGAGACTCTTGGGCAAAAAATCTTAGGGATAAAGTATCTGCTCTTTACTGGTTATTTTGGTGTTAGTTCAGACACCAAAAGGGCAGGTAGCGGGCGAGGGGGATGATATAAGTGCAGGGAGGAAAACAGGTTTTTTTGTCTGGTCTGTTACTTAAATTGACATTGGACAAACTAACAAGAGAAAAACACATTGAATTTTGTACACATGAGAACCCCAAATACGCGGGGCTCCGAGGTGGTCAGGAATTGACCACCTCTGCCATCTTCTGTGCCATTCTGGGCTAAGGAGAAAGGGGTAGGGGTCCGGGGCTTCGACACAGGGGAAGACGATTCACAGGAAGACGGGAAGGGCAAATGTTCGGCAAACACATGTCTGTCGTGCCAGGCAGAGGCCACGGGGCACAGAGAGGACCCGGACACCCAGGCCAGCTTGCCGCGGCAGCCCACGCTCTTTGTGGTTGTCCCTGGTGAGGCGCTGTCCTGGGCCAGCCCTCCATCTAAGCTCAGAGGCAGTTCAGCGGGAGGTTAAAGCCCCTTCTGAGTCTGTTGGGCCCTGATGACTGTCTTCAGCTCAAAATAATCCACATGCCCAAGTGGCCTGTTTGGGGAGGCTCATTCTGAGCTCCTGCACAAGGAAAACATGTTCTATTTTCCGGTCCTACAGGTGTGGGGGTGTGGGTGCAGCAAGGCGGTACGTATGAAGGAGAAAGTCCGAGGACACACGTTCTCAGGTTAACTGGCCCTCTTGAGACCAAGCAGGCCTCCTCTGAGGGATTATTATTTCCTGACAAGAAGCTCCAGACAGATCAGTCAGTCTATCACGTTGCTGAGCACCATTCTTGATAGTGGGCCCTTCATTCATTCATGCAGTGAATGGATTCAGAATCTACTGTGAGGCAGGAGACAGAGACAGGAAAATGAAATGTCTGCTCTGAATGCACCAACTTCACAGGAAAAGCCCTCAAGTGAACAAAAACGACACTGCGCTTTGCAAAGGGATGACAGAGGGTGGGCTAGAAGCTCAGAAGGGGGCTCCCAGAGGTGGCAGGGAGAGAGGACAATCTTCCTAATAAAGAGGAGGTGTCTGAGCTGAGCCTCAGGCTAGGCGACAGATAGGAGAAAATGGGGTGTGATGGGCGGCTTGCGGACACAAAGGCCATGCAAAGGCACAAAGATGGGCAAGGATGCTGGCGTTTCTGTACTGCAGGAGCTCCTATGTGCTGTTAGCACGTGGCTTTTCTCATTCCGCTGGACTTTATTTCCACAGGCTCAGCATGGGCATGACTGTGCTTTCAGCCCCCAGATCATAATATGGGCCATTCCCAGCACCCCGAAATCTCCCTCATCCCTTCCCATACAGCAGCCAACCACCCACAGACCCACTACCTAGAAAAGCTACTTCTCTGACTTCCAACAAAATACATGAGTTTAGCTTGTTCTGGGATGAAATGGGTCAGTGTGAGGGAGTCCACAGACTACGTCCTCTTCCCCAGAGAATCAGAAAGTGTGTACTCTGTGTTTGGCTTATGTCACCCCGTATCTGTCTGTGACATTCACCCACAGTTTGCACGTGGCAGTGGCCTGACCTCTTCTCTTTCTGAGGGATCCTCCTATGGATGACTTCGCCACCACTGCATCCATTCATTCTACTGTTGCTAGATTTGGGTGGCTCTTGATTTCTTGGATTTTCTGAATAAAATCGCAGTGAATGTGCTTGAATACAAATGTTTTCCTCTGCAATCAGCACTCTTTTCTCTCAGGTTTTCCTTAGAAGGTGAAGGCTGCGTCATAAAGTGAGTGTGCATTAGTCTACCAGGTGCTGTCAGGTGGGGTCTCAGGGTGACCCCAGCCCTCTGCGGACCTGGCAGCTCGGGGGCTACTCACGCTGCCGAACCAGCAGCAGCATCTGTGTCTGCTCTTGGCCATTCCGGAGGCTTTTTCCATTATTATCTTACTGTGGGTTTGATTTTCATCCCCCTGTGTATAATGCTCATCATTCTTTTGTGGTGTTTTTAAACAATGGCATAGTACCTGAAAGGCTATTCTGGCTTAGAGAGGACATGACTATAGAACAGATCTGTGGGGAAGGAGTGCGTAGAGTGTTGGGCTAATATTTAAACACTGTTAACGGAGCCAAAGTTGGGAATTAACGACCCAGTCCCCTAGTTTATTTACTAAAATTTGGGTCTGCTTCTAGCGCCGCCTAAGTGGGGTGAGCGGTTGGCGGGCTCTCCCCCACCTCCGGCCTCACGCAAGTTCCCAAATTGCCTTGAGTGCTTGCCCCTGGTTCTGGGGTGGTCCTCTGGTGCTGGGCGGCATGTAGGTGCCAGGAGCAGAGCCCAGGGGGGTGGGCCTCACTGCCCAGGTCAGTAACCGTGACACGGATCATTGTCCGTGGAACGTGCGGGCGCCACCTCACTAAGGAGGGATTAAGGTGATGACGTCAGGGCTGACCAGGCAGGCTCTGGCTGCTAAGTGCAGGGCTGGCCCTGGGCTTCTCTAAAGTCCCTCCCAAGGATGTCAGGCCCAAGCCTCAGGGCCTTGTCCCCGAACCGCCAGCCCTGGGCCTCAGGTCCTGTGAGGCCAGGTGCTTCCTCTTAGCACCTTGAAGTTAAGAGGTCAACTACATGTGCTGTTCTGCGTCACAGCCCCACGCAGGAGGGAATCTTATTTCACCAGCTGCACGCTTCCTAGAAGGAAGTTGCAGCTCTGCTGCCAGACATGAGCTCGTGCTGAGAAGTTGCGCTTGTATCCCTCTGTCTCCCCTGTTCTAGCACAGGGCCTGGCATATAACTGGCAGAACATTTGTTAAGTGGATGAGTGAGAAATCAGGACAATTTGTTGAGGGTGGCTGGCAAAATCCAGTTCTCTACCAGGAGGTGGGTTTATGGCCTTGTGATGGTCACCCACAGGAAACGCACCTCCACAGACTTGGGCGAGGCAGGAGGGGACGACAGGTGCTCCATCTCTCCCCTTCAGCAACCCCCCAGCCTCGAGCGAAGGTCCTGGCAGGGGCCTGTGCAGGGAGGAGATGCCGCCCAGGAGATTCCTGAAGGTCCTTTGAACAATGTCCCTGCATGTCCTTCGGGCAGAGCTGTGACCCACAAGTCCACACCTGAGCCCAGCACCCTAGTGTGGAGGCCAGGAGGGCTGGGGAGGCAGCCTGGAAGCCTTCAGAGCTGAGCTCTGTGACCCCAGAGCCCCCTCCCCAGCCCCACTCACCAGGCTGAGCCCTGTAGCCCTGCAGGGGAGCAGCTGGCAGTGCTCGAGGCCGCATTTCCCCCCAAAGCCCCACGGCTGCTAAGGACGCCCGGCTGCTCGGGTCTCGACAGCAGCGGCCCCGTTAACCCCGACGCTGGTGTGCTCATCCCGGAGCAGGAATCACGTCCCCATCCCTTGTGTCACCACGTCTAGTTCTGAACGCCTCCCTCGCACGAGGATGCAGGGCTGGAGGGGACGCAGCGGCGCCGTGGCTCAGGGAGATTGTCCCAGTGACACGCACTTATGCAGAGCAGTTCAGGCCGTAGCCGCCACACGGGGTGCACAGGGCGGGCAGCCCAGCCGGCGTCCCTGCCGAGTCCCTGGCCCTGGGCCGCTCTCCTGGGGTCCCAGCCCCGGGCACCCCCACTCCTGCACAGCACTGAGTTTTAGGTGCCTGACGTATGACTTGAACTTAGTTCCATCTTTTTACAAGGCAATATTCATGAAGCCAAAATGCGGCCGTTATCGTAATGTATGATTAGCCAAAGACATCCTGTGCAATGAACCGGTGTGACCAAATTCCATGATGCGTCAGAAACGTCAAATGTCAGCATATAATAAGTCCTGGTAATGCCTGTAAAATGGGGATAAAGGTAGCAGTATACATTTCCTTCTGTAGATATTAATGCATAGGCCGGGTGCCACACAAAATTAATCTCATTTAATCCTCACCACATCCTTTGAGATAGTTAACGTCTATTCCCATTCCGCAGATGAAGAAGGGCTTCATCTGCAGCTGACCTCAGGCCGCAGCCCTGGTACGAGAGCTCACAGGAACTGAGACCGAAGGACTCCATAAAGTGTAGCCCTGCCACGTTGTATCCCTGCAGGGATAATGTAATAGTACCTGCCCATCCGCCTCAGAGGGTGCCTTGAATTCCACCTGGAGAACTCTGGGGGCCCAGGGATCTGTGTTTTAGAATGGTACCCTATGACTGATGCAGGCTGTGCATGAGCCCCCTGCCAGGTCACACTACGTGTTCTGAGGGTACCGTGGCAGCCCTATGTAAATGTAATAGTGGTTATTAGTGTTGATTGCTAGGAGGCTTCTCTTGGAAGGGACAGGTCAATTTTAATCTTAAAACCTGAATGAATGCTTTTTGTCTGTGTGCATGCACGTGTGTGTTTACTGCCTTCATGGCTGTGCATGGACTTTGAGTTCCCCCTCAGTCCCATCAAGGTTGGCGAGCCCGCTGGGTGGTCCCCTCACCCACACAGCTGAGTGGCTTTCCCAAGCACCACATCAGCAACAGGCTCGCTTCCCTCTCATTTCCAGGCATCAGCGGTAAGCGGCTCGGTGTCTGCGGCTGGATCCTATTTTTTCTTTCTCTCGTGTTGGTGATCATTACCTTCCCCATCTCCATATGGATGTGCCTGAAGGTACTGCCCTGGGGAGTGAGCTGGGCTGTCTACAAGCTGCTGAGCCACTAGGGCTAAGTGTGCTCCCTTAATCTCGCAGATCATTAAGGAGTATGAACGCGCTGTTGTGTTCCGCCTGGGACGCATCCAAGCCGAAAAAGCCAAAGGACCAGGTAAGACGCTGCGGCTGCCGCTGGCTGGGGGCATGGGCGTCGCTGGTGTTCCCCCCGCCACCACAGCGATCCCTGCAGCATCTACTGAGAGGCAGAGAAAAATCACGCGGAGCCGGGGCCCCAACTGAAGGCTGTTGTCCTTTCATGCAAGGTAATCAGAGTGACCCCTGGGCCACCAGGTTGACAGTTGGGAAACCTGGACCTGTTTCCTGTCACTGCCTCTGAGAGTGTCAGCGAGGGTGCGTAAAGACCACTCTGGTCACACCGCCTGGATATCACTTATCACCAGGGCCGCTAGGAGAACGGTGGAAGGGAGGGGGAGGGTTTACGGGGCCGAGGGAGACGAGCCAGGGGTTCAAGGGGAGAATTCCAGGAGCTGGTTTTTGCTTCTCTTTGAAAAGAGCTAATGGAAAAATAAAAGGTAATTTCCTCTTTCCTGGCAAGTAGATAGATACAAATATAAAGCTGGAGGCAATTGTACAATTCCTTTTGTCAAATGTAGTGTTTATTTCCATCTTCTCTCTGTAAACCTAGAAGGAAAAATGTCCCAAACAGCTCATGTTATAAAAGGATGGGGTTTTCTGGGGGTTGAGGTGGGAGTGTTTGTGTCAGGTATTAAAACTCTAGAAGTAAAACATTGATTTAATGTTCATAACTTCCCTGGGTGTATATTTAGTTGAAACATGAAATGGCTAATATTTCTTTTGACTCACAAGAATGGCAATAAGTTCTAATATTCTTGAAAGGAAAGGCTATCAAAAACATCATCTTAGAAGCCACATGAAAAAGAATGGTTACTGCCTATCTGTCTTATTTGCAAACATTATTAGGCATTTGTTTTCTGCTCCCTATATGGTGTATTTGCATAAAATCCTTTTCTCTCCAACTGGACTGCAGGAAGTCTGGGAGCAGGGACCTCCTGTCCCCTCTGCTCTGTCCTGGGCCGAGCACCCTGCTAGGCACTCGGGTGCCTGTTACCTGAGCAAATAGGAAAGCCTCAAATGGAGAAGCTTGCTAAGGAGGCTTGGCCATTTCAAGGAGTGTAATTCTGCTTATCTAATTTCAAAAAGGACCTCAGAAAAGGGGGCAGGAATTAGTTACTTTGTTCTTATGAGTCTGTCAAAATCAGAAGTGTTAGAATCACACAAACTGAGGTATAAGAGCAAGATGAGCCCCTTCCCAGTCAGATCGCACCTGGTGGGCCCCGGATGGTACGTTAGAATAACAGTGGATCTGAGAGGTGGACCAGCCATAACCTGGAGGGCTCCAGAGAGAAGCATATCTCTTTAAGGGAATTGTCCCCAAAGAGTTCACCACTGCATCCCGCGGTGACTGTCCCGCGGTGACTGCTTTCGTCACATGTGTCTCTAGGGCTAAGCAGTTACCTCAGTGTGTCCTATGAGCTAGAGGGAAACAAGCTGAATTGCTAATGGAAAACCTCTCCACTTTGGTAAATGGTACATTTTTCTTAATAATAAAAGTATTAATCATTGGTGCTGCCACTTTTTGAGCACTTAATACATGCCTGGCACTGCATTCTGTCCACTGTGTCTTCACCCTGCTGGATCGTGTTTGATCTCCACTACCGTCTTGCACATATTACGTAACAAAGGCCCAGGAAAGTTAGGTGACAATCCCAGTTGCAAGCTAGAAAGTGGCAGGGCTGGGCCTTAACTCTCTGTGGTTCAAAGGACCGTAACCTTCCCCAGGGAGCTGGCACCGACAAAGGAAGTGAATTAGGCAGTCAGCTTCACCACGGGGCTCAAGAAAAGTTCAGGGATGGAAAGAAAGCAAGCACCTTAGCAGCGATTTTCTGTTGATGTCATCAGCCCTTTGCACAGGTGCTCACCTAAAATCCTCTTGTGACTTTGAAAATAAAACAGCACAAAATCTTTCCAGCAAATGGAAATGAATTGGTGCCCCTTCCTGCTGACACGTGTTGTGCTTCTGATCTTTGTAACTCTTGCTATTCAGAACACTTACCAGGGTGAGGGTCACGGTTCCCAGGATCCTCAGGGGAGTTCTTCTCTCCTCGTCCTCCTCCCACGCAGCCCCAAACCCAAATACGTCACAACTCAGAGAGAAATAAAAGTGATCACCATCGGATAATGCCCTTGTGTTTGAGCAAGAACGCAGCTGTGGAGAAAATGAAAATTCGGCAGTACATTGGTTTTAGGGACTTTGAAATTCTGGGAAGATTTTAACTGGCACATTCCTTCAGTACCATGAAGAGGACTAAGAATGTCGACAGCCATTGATGCTCAAGGTCAAAAGTCTGTGTCTTGAGTCTTTAGTATGGACACCTTTAATAGAGAGAAAACAATACCCAAAACATCCTTTTAAATTAATGTCAAGCTCAGCCCTTGGCTAGAATAGGCTGAATGTTTTAAAAATAAAATCTAAAAATTAAATTTCAAGTATCTTTAGGTCTTTACCGTAATATCTCAATTCCTAGGGAAGTACTTTCCTTTGGCCGACTCATGGGAGGAAGTGACTGTTCCCCAGAGATGTTTGCTGAAGAAGATACTCTGAGAGACTTTGTAGCACCATGAAAATAGTATACCACGTAGCTAGGAGACAATTTGATACACTTGTTTTTAATAGGGTGAAATTTAAGCCCTGTTTTCTGTCTCACAGGCCTGATCCTGGTTCTGCCCTGCATAGATGTGTTTGTTAAAGTCGATCTCCGGACCGTGACATGCAACATTCCCCCACAAGAGGTAACGCCTGTTAAAGATAGGCTGGTGGCAGTGAAACTTGTGTCTTACCCTTTACACAGACAATTGAAACTTCACAGTGTGTTGTGAACTCTAAGGGGGAGGATGAGCTGAATTCCCGCAGAGACCTGCTCGAGGGGCTGGAGGGGCTCCTGAAACCAGTGGTTCTTGTCCTGCCAAGTAAGCATGCAGCCGAGAGCAAGGGCTGGATTGCTGGACGGCTTGGAATGGCTGGGCGGGAGAAAGCCCGCGAGGGGAGGGAACAGAGCCAGCGGGCAGAGAAGCTGGGCGGGGGCTGCCGGAGCGGGTGCTTGGAGGCGTCAGAGAGCCGTCGTAAGAAGGAGCCGAATTCTAGTCGGTGGAGGGCAGTGGTTGGTTATGGTGTCATCCTCTCTGTCACCCTCGCAGAAGACTTTTTAGGAACGTCTCTCACCTCTGCTTCATGTTTTCTGTGCTGGGAAGCGACACTGTGGGGTGGGGGTGGGGGGCCACGCAGACACTGTACCCGGCCCGCGGACGTGTGGGTTTCAAAATAATGCTGCTCAGTTCTAAACGTACTGCAAACAAATGACCCAAACCAGTAACTGGGGGAACAGGGGAGAGAGCCCGAGTTATGGGTCATCTGGCACACTCTCAAACCAAAGCGTCCAGGAAAAAGAAAGGAGACATGAGAAGGATCTGTGATATCAGGGGTGGGGGTGGGGGGCAAAGATGACGTGAAGACAGGCACTCATTTAGGAGTAAGTGCTAATTTCTTCTCTTCGGTCGAGGAAACTCAGTGAAAAGCCAACACGGCTGTCCCCATGCCACGCTGGGGACTGCAGAGTCCTTACTCTAGGGGCGGTCCCAGGTGCAGGAGAGCTCGGGGTGCTGAGCGACCTACTGTGGGCCTTTTCTGGCTCCATACTGGACAGCTCTGGGTGGAGAAAGGCGTTCTAGGTTCTGCTCCCGCGGTGGCCCCAGAAATCCCTCATTTGCTCTGAAGCATCTCATCACATTATCCAGAATGATTAATGCGGAGACTCTACACAAAGTGGATGTATTTCTCTGTATTTGAACATAGAACATGGTCTCTGGTGCCATCTATGCTTTCTGAGAGGCACTGTTGTTCATCAAGTCTGGTAAAAACTGAAAAACCAAAACATTTCAGGCATCAGGGAAAGAGCGTCCTACCTCTGTTTAAATGGTGGAGTTCCAGAGAGGGGTGACTGTTGCATTTAAAATAGAAATGCCAGCTTGCCCCATGGCAGATCAAGGGGCTCCCCCATGGGCTGTGAGACTGCTCTCAGACGAGCTCACAGCCACAGGGACAGACCACAGTGTGGGAATTTGGTTACAGGCCGGGATGGTGTTATACTCAAGCTGGCACGGATTTCTGGGGGCACTGGCCCGAGCTGTCAGTACTGCTCCCCCCTGTGGCATGGCCCCCTGGGCAGCTGGCCCTGCTGGTGGCTGTGTGGCATGAGCTCCTCCCTGTCCCCTCCAGATCCTCACCAGAGACTCCGTGACCACCCAGGTGGATGGGGTCGTCTACTACAGAATCCACAGCGCTGTCTCGGCCGTGGCTAATGTCAACGATGTCCACCAAGCCACCTTTCTGCTGGCCCAGACCACCCTGAGGAATGTCCTAGGGACACAGACCTTGTCCCAGATCTTGGCTGGCCGAGAGGAAATAGCCCATAGCATCCAGGTAAAACTGACAAGAGCTAGTAGCCTGCATCTTTAATTCATTCATTTTATTATCAACTGTCAGCAGGCCAAACACCCCATCACCTGAGCACTTGTGCATGGTCACACACACACATACACGCGCGTGTGCGCACACACACACACAGACACACACACACACACACTGCTCTAAACACAAGGGTTTCGGTTTGTGACTTCATGTCTTTATAATTACGTATCTGATTAGAACAAAGGAGTCGTTAGAATCATGCGCCTTATCTGTTTGTTTGGAATTCAAAACGGTGACTCAGCTTTGTACACTTGACCCTTTTCCTACATTTCAGCTAAGTGTGAAAATTGTAACAGGATTCTGTTGCGATAGCACAGAACCTCAGTTCCTGAAAAACCTGCCATTGTTGTAAGAATATCAATAATAATATCAAAGTATCATAATTATAATACTGGTGGGGAAGTAGCAGATGTCCATCTTACACACTCTCATTTACCCTTCTGTATTTTCTTAAATCAATTCTACTTTGATTCTGAGCCTCTTCTCTGCAGGTTAGGAGGAAAATTCAGCTTAGGTTTTTCTTGGCTTCTCCTCTAGACCCTAAGCGTGAGCAGTTACCCAAGGCTTTGCGAGATTCCAATGGTTCTGCAGGGTAACCCCATTCTCACACCCCAGTATTTGGGGGTACCCCAAGAGTTTGACAGCTCAGATGCTTTCCCTGCCACAGTCAGGCCTCCGGCTTCTTCTGAGGTCACACCATCTCCTGTGATTGTGTGTGGACCTCCTCCCATCTGGAAGCACAGAGGTCTGCCCCCTCCCCTTCCAGGCACCACCCATCCGATCTCACTATTTCTCAAGGCATTCTTCTGCATTCCTCCCTTCCAGGATGACAAACAAGACACCTTTAGTGGTCTAAAGCTTTCTGAAAGATAAGAACATCTTAGACTTTAGGCTGCTTCTGCTCTAAAAAATATGCCTTGCTATCTATTTAAATTGGCATGGGACGGAGGGTAAACAGAGCAGGACACACGTGAGCCTTGAACAGCATGAGCGTTAAGGGTGTCGACCCCCTGCACAGTGAAAGTTTGCGTGTAACTTGTAGTCACAAGTTACCTAAAACTTAGCTCCTAATAGCCTACTGTTGACCAGAAACCTTACTGATAACATAGTCGACTAATATATACTTTGTAAGTTATATGTATTATTTAATGTATCTCTACAAAAGTAAGCTGGAGAAAAAAAAATGTGTTTTCAAATTATGGCCAATCTCCAAAAAACTTTCCAATATATTTATTGAAATAGGTATGTAAGGAGACCCGTGCAGTTCAAGCCCGTGTCGTTCAAGGGTCAGTGTAGCCCAGTAGTAATGGTTATGGAATCATCGTAGGCATGATCTCCACATCTCATGACGATCCTGAAGGGAAACCTTTTATAGGTGAGGACACTAAGAATCAGAGAGGCTCAGTAACTGGCCCGGTGATTCACAGCTGCCAAGGGCAGACGCAGGACAAAACCCAGGTGCATCTGGGAAACCCTGCATGGCTGCCGACTTGATGTAACAGGACAACCTGGGGTATTTGCTAGAATGTGCGCGAACAAAGGACACTTCTTTAGGGATGGTTTTGGGGTGGGCTCTGCCACCCACTGGAAAGCTTATCAGATGTTGCCCGTGAACCCTTCCTGGGATTCTCCTCAGTCCCAAGAAGTGACCAGTAGCCTGCGCCTTCCCTGACTGTGTTGCTGCACAGGTGGGAAATACCAGGGGAGACAAAGAAGAGGAATTGATGTTGCAAATACACAACACGCCAGGAACTAATCACACGGCCTTTCTTCTGCTCCATGTCCTTTCTTTCCATCTGCAAACAGACCATACTGGACGACGCCACGGAGCTGTGGGGCATCCGGGTGGCCCGAGTGGAGATCAAGGACGTCCGGATCCCCGTGCAGCTGCAGAGGTCCATGGCGGCGGAGGCCGAGGCCACCCGGGAAGCCAGGGCCAAGGTGAGGGCGCACCCACCCCGCGGGGCAAGCTGCCTGGCCTTGGAGAACACGAGCTCCAAGGAAAGATCAGCCTCTCTCTCCGTTAGCTGGATAAGAAAAGGGTTTCTTTTTCCCTGTTTTTACTGAGGATTTCCTCCTGAATTGAAAGGAAATGGGCAGCTCAGTGTGCCTCTAGGAAGCTTGGTAACAAGGCTTGGGTCAAGGGGACGGCCGGCAACCCCGCTCAGTGACTCAGCAAGGCGGGCCCGAGCCCCACAGGGACCTGGGTCACACACACCAGCTCCTTACCTCCCCTCGGGCTCAGCGAGGCAGTCTCGGGGGGTCTAGGAGCCTGTCTGCCGATGAAACCGCTGACTGCGGTGTAGCCAAGCTGGGGACTGTCTTGCGCGTCACCGTCCAAGTGTGCTAAGTGTGCTGGATTGAGGGAGGGGTGTGCGCCCTGGCCTTAGGTGCCTTTGAATCTGTCGGCTCTGTAGCCTTCATGTCCGTGTGGACGGGTTTCTGGAAATATCAGAAACCAATTAAGATCAGAAGCTTTTTGTAAGATTCCTCAGACTTTTGTGCACCAAAGGGAGGTTTTCCTCTGCCTCCTTTCTCACCTCCCTCTGGGTCATTGGCTAAGCTCTGGGGGCTCTTGGGGGTGCTGCCACACGTGGGCAGTGGGGCCAGGTCCTCAGGCGGGCTGAGAATTAGAGGAGGCGCTCGCACTTCCCAGATGCCCAGTGAGGTCATCAGACTGGCCGTGGCTGCTGCTTGTCAGCCGCCAAGAGCAGAGAGAACTTCAAACATCTCACACTGTAAGAATGAGACTCTGTTGGCAAGAGAATGAAACAAAAATATCTCCTCTGGTACGTAAAAGCCACAGAAGAGAGCCAGGTGGAGACCTCGAATTTCAGGTTTCTCTGAAAACGAATGCAGCTCATAATCAGGCTACGCAGTGACTAGAGAGCATTCCTGGGGTGGATGGGCCAACCTTCGTTCGGGCTAAAAACAGGGCATTTCTTTTGTCTGAAGATGAAATCTAGGGACTTAGAATTTGTAAAGTATCTCCCGGCTTCCTGGGACCTCCTCAAATTTCTCTGATCACATTAGGCTGGGAAGCTTATCCTCGCCAAAGAAAAGTGGGGGGATGGCAGGCGTGTGGCCGAGTGGGGGCTGCGAGAGCCCACCGGAGGAGGAAGGCGCAGCTCACATACGTCAACGTTTGTTTCTGAGCGCTTACATTTCTGCCTTTTCAGGTCCTTGCTGCAGAAGGCGAGATGAATGCTTCCAAGTCTCTGAAGTCCGCCTCCATGGTGCTGGCCGAGTCCCCCGTCGCACTCCAGCTGCGTTACCTGCAAACCTTAACCACCGTGGCCGCGGAGAAGAACTCCACCATCGTGTTCCCTCTGCCCATGAATATACTGGAGGGTATTGGTGGCATCAGCTACAATGACCACAAGAAGGCTCCCAGCAGAGCCTGAGGTCCTGCGGGCAGCCGGCCACTGCTCAGGGAGTCGCGTCTATTCCTGCGGGGGGCCAGCAGTAGGAGTCCTGAGAATGGCAACACTATTCAAGCCGAAAACTCCACAGCTGTCACAGCATTAGCAAGGACATGCTATAGAGGCTGCCAAAAAAAAAAAAAAAGGCAAAAATGAGGGCTTTGTACTTCTATTTTTAGGCACATAAACAACTTTGCATTTTTCTTAGGATAATTAATTCGTAGGTGTCCTGGATTTATATACCAAAAGACCTTTCTTACAGTAGAGGGTGAAATTGTTGGGGGATGGTGACTAAGCTCTCAGAATTACTTTGTAATAGTTTTAAGAAGCACTGTAGATCATTTGTAAAGTAATACATGTCTCTGATTTATATATAATCTCAAAGCAACTACTTGCTAAATTCTTGATGACTGCAATAAAATCCCACAATGCTTAAAATTTGGATTTGATGATGGTGTTAAAGACTAAGGAGGCCCTGAGGCTCTGGCTGCAAATTCCTCACCAGCCCCCTAGCCGCCGACCCTGGGTGGCAGATTGCATGAGACCCCTAGGTGCACGTCCCCCAGTTGGGAGCAGCGCCAGTTCCCAGCCTCGCAGTACCTTGTAAGAGTTGGGGACAAGGCTCAGTGCAGCCACCAGCTTGTCAGTTATTTGCTCACAGGTGACAATGCTTGTAAAAGGTTTCCTGGGTTGAAATCACTGGGGAACCTCGTCCCATGGACTTAATGCTTTCACTCTATTGTTAGTCCCAAGAGCCACAAGTAATCAAGATTATTTGTAAACTCTACTCTCCCCCTCAAAAAAAAGTTAAAAATAAAGAAGTCATAGAATGTGGATGTGATGTATTTTTAGGATTGCTTTGTCAGAGATTCTTTTGTGGCCATAGTGCAATTTTCTCTTGACATCCGTTTTGTGCAATGGGGTGGAATTTTTTTTGTTACCTTTCATTGAATGTCTGCTCTGTGTGACCCTGTGTGCAGCCCCTCATGTGCCGGAATGTCTTCTTACTTTACAGATGACAAAGTGCTGTCAAGAGGCTAATCACGTGTCCAAGATCCCTCAGCTAGTGAGTGTCAGGTTCGGATTTAACACCAGGTCTAATATGGAGTTCTTGCTCTTAAATATCATCGCGTTTTGCTTGGGGGAGGCGGGCCTGGGAGGGGACAGAGCCCGGGTATTCCCTTCTTGCCTTTAGTGCCAATCTTTGAGGTTCCGAAGTCTGGGCGCCTACTATGATTTTCTCCTCTGTCCGGGAGTGTGCAAGCATGCACACGTGTGTGCAGACACTCTCCACACAGCCCACACCCCTGTCCGCACTCCACACATGGTCTGGGGAGCCCCCCTGCACCGCCATCTCTGCTCCTACCCCTTCCATGTGCTCCCCTTATCCACAGCTTAAGAACTTTTTAATAGATTTTACTGATTCTCTGACCCTAGTACTCATTTTTAAGGCAGCAAGTTTCATATTTTTTCCTTATAGGCTAAATACGTGCATCTTAACAAGCCTTGAGGGCAGAGGGGCGCCTCTCAGGGCTCACCTCCATCAGCCTGGAGCCGGTCTGCACACCTGTAGACACTTACCTGTTGACCTTCTGTCACAGGCGTGAGGGCCATGAAGCGGGTGGCCCTGCTTGGACCAGGACACCGCAAACACCTCTTCCTGGCCTCTCCCAGAAATCCACAGTCACTCCCTCTTGGGTTTCCATGGTGGCACGAAGAAGTAAATCTTTCCCAGCATCGCACAGCAAACTCTAACCTAGTAGTCCTCCCTGGTAGTGATTGTTCTCTGATGCGCTGCAAGCTCTTTGTCAAAACCACAGCCTGCTGGCTTCCCGTGGGGCGGGGATGGGGCCGTGGGAGCGTCATCAGAATCCCTGGGCTCCTGTGGCTTGAAAATTCTCTACAAGACTCAGATTAGTCCCACTCCGAACAGGAATCCATATGAATTCTTCAGCGTTACAACAGGGCGTGTATTATATCAGCCACCGAAGGCTCCCTAAGAGGACTCCTTTGCAGATACATGTACTTGGGGGCAAAGGGACCACAGAAGGAATAAGGGCAGGGCTCTTCTGGAATGTGAATGCCAAGGATGACGTTTGAAATACAGCCACCCAGGCCCCCAGCATAGAATGCAGTTGTTTTCTTTAGGGGACGTAGCTGAAAGGGGGGCAAGGCCAGCAGGAGGACCCAGGGGACAGCCTGCACCGGGGAGGGGACGTGTCCAGCCTCCTTGAGATGCAGTCCTGGGACCTCAGCCTCCCCCATCAGGATGGAAGCAGGCGCAGATAACGCCCTTCAGGCACTTTTGCTGTTTTAATCACAGGTGTGCGGAGGCACGGAGCCTAGAGCTGAAGCAGGGGCTGACGCCCCCAGCTGTCCCAGGCGCTGACCCTTAGCTGCTGGGCCAATGCAATTTCCAGAGGTTGTTGGCAACACACGATTCACTAAGTGTGTTTGGCTGTGCCTGACCTGGGAACAGGGACCCCTGGGGGGTCAACTCTTCCCAGAGTCTTAGGTGAGGAGCAGTGGGGGCACTGGCAAGACCCCCTTTTGTCTTTGCTGTGATCCCCACTTCCCTTATCAGCCCCCAGTCTCCCGTCCTTCTCTCTCAATCCCTGGCACTAGAGCAGGAACGGTCTAATCCTTTTCTCTGTCTGGACTTGGGTTACACAAAACTCTGCAGCAAAGCTTGGTCCCTAATGTCCTGGTTTGCCTTGCTTTAAAATCCCATTTTTATATGTCAGAAGCTCTTACATTCTTTCCAGAACATCCAAGTATCCCTTATCCCCAGTTCCATGGAAAAGATACCTCAAGTATCATGTAATTATAAGGGTAAAGAAAAAAGAAAGCATTTTAATAATTTTCAAAATATGGTGCATTCTGAAGACTGAACTGAATTATTTTCATTCCTGGGGCATAAGCAAGATAATCACTGTCTTTGAGCCATATCTCCCCCCCTCCCCCAATATGAAGGCCAGAAATGACTTTGTGTTTTATTTTCTTCAGATTGGGTGCATAGAGACGGTATACCCCTCTGTTAGATTCCTTGGAGCTCCGTTGGTGAGCCTCCCCAGCACGGGGTTTCTCGGCTAAGGACCATCATTTAACATCCATCCTGGCATTTGGGGATGAAAGAATGCAGAGAGACCTCTTGGGTCTAAGAGTGAATCAATACGGCTCATATCTTGCCACCCACTGTAGTCAATAAATTTACAAATTAAAAAGCGTTTTGGACTTTTTCCAAAAACAGGATTCGTCTCTTTTCTGTGCCAGAGGTATGGCCCAGGGTAGTAACTTACACGCGTTAGCGCATGGCTCCTTCATCCTAGGTCCGTGGATGGATGCCATGGCCTTCCTCTCCCAGGCTGGGCACGTTAGTGGATGTGGACCATCAGCAGTGAATGTCCGAATAAACTAGCTCCTGCAGGTGCCCCTGTGAGCGCTGCGAGGCTGCACCCTGGGTCAGAGTTCCTAGGTTGCCAGCACACACAGCCGAGCCTGCAGACACAGACACGTCTCGTGTGGCCTTGTGTCGCTCAGGGTTCTCTGTCAGGAACCAATGCCCGTCACAGCTGGGGACAGGCTTCTGGGTCTGGTAGGTGGTGGGGTTGGGGATGGGGTGCAGCTGATCCTTTCGTGGCATCTCCTGTTTCTCATGTGCTGAGTGGTGTCCGAAGATGAAAATCTCTCTCTTGGCCTGTGAACAGTGGTCAGATGCGTGAACCAAGAATGTGTTTCACTTGGGGTTTACGTATCAGCAGGCTGTGGACAAGGATGGGAGTAAGTGATTTATTTGAGAAGCTATTTCAGGTAGTACTCTGAGGGAAGGAGGTGACTTGAGGAAAGAAGGAAAGCAATGCAAATTTTACTAATAAATCACTTAACTGCTGTGGGCAACCGGGGCTCAGCCCTGTCAGGACACCGAGAAACTTGGGGTGCACATCTCCGCTTTATCTCGGTGCAGGACGAAGAGGCTGTGCAGTACAACCACTGGCTGAAAATGTGAGGAAAAGGTAAGCAAGTTTGAAATGGCAAAGAAAGAAAAATTAGTGGATGTTTCATTTAGGTCACCATCCAGGTGATCTCTGCCCATCCTCGTCCGTGGGTTATGTTATAACACTGACCTGTAGAAAGTTGATAGTAAGGCAAATCATTCTTGTCTGCAGAAATGCATGAATACAACTGATCGTTTCCTGTGAACACTGACTGCTTTTGCGTTTGTTTGTAACTTCCAGGGGACCTTAGAAGCCCAGTAGACTAAGAGCGCCCACCACGTGCCAGAGTGTTTTCAGGGTGCCGGGGGTGGGACAGTGATGGGAATGACAACCTTTGACACAGAAGTCCACCCTCTTTTGTGTATTTTGCCTTTTCTTGGGATTGTCCTTCACTAGCTGTAAGAGAGTATTTCATTTACTTTAAGGGAGGAGGAGCTCTTTGCATTTCCTTCCGGTATTAAATAGTGGTGCCACATAGTGAAGATCTGACCTCAGAGTAATTGAAATGATTATTGACTTAGGTGAAGTTTGCAAAAAGGCGCCTATTTTGCCTTGGCCGTGAAGAGCCCCCTCAGCGGATCAGACCAGCTGATTCGGCAGCAGCAGCCGGACAGCTGGGCAGGTTTTGTACCTGTGGCAGGGTCTAGGCACCCTGCTCCATGGGACAAAGAGTTAGTCATCTAAACATGTTGTTTTCTCTAAATACCCATTGCCCCTGCCTGGCAGGCCTCTGGCAGTGTCTGGGCCAGTGTAACTGACCAGCATAACTTAGCAAGCGCTAAGATCCTGCAGGTAGATCCTGCTCAGGGGCAACAACATTTTACCACCAGCATCATGGAGGTAGTGGGGGCACATGTCCCAGCCTGGAAGCCTGCAGAAGCTCAGGCCTCTGAGCCAGAACGGACTGACTGACACGTGCGGACTAGAGGAACTGTGTGGTTTCGGTGTAAATAAGAGTTAGAGAATGCACCACAATCACTTGGCCATTTTAACAGATAGGCTTTATTTATATTAAACACGTGATATAGTTTGAAGGAAAATAAGTGTAGTTAGGAAACACAAGTGGTAGCAAGAATTATTTTAGACATGAAAGTAAGACTGAATGGCTTCAAAGTACTCATACAATTGGCTTCCCAGGGATAAACTTCAATATCCAGTAAATATGCAGTATCCTAGGAAATACACGAAAAACTAGACCCTGGGGAAACCGCAAAGGCTATTAAGTTGGGCAGATAATTACACACAGATGCACCAGTCAGCGGAGGGCGCTCAGGAAGGAAGCAGACACTTCATGCAGTAATAAAACACACAATGCTTGCCCAGGCTAACGTCTAATTTCAAGGACAAATGGGCTTAGAAAATATCTTGCCTAAAACTTGAATTCCTGAAGCCACAGAAGACTCTGTTTTGTACTTTTTGTTATGTGCTTAAATTTGCCCCTTC